TATTTATTGGATTAATTAATTAGTCTGTTTGAAATTAAAATGCCTAAAAAAACTCATTGTTTGGTTGGTTAAAGCGGCTGTTGTAATGTGCATGTAATGGTCAGCTCTGAAGACTCTTGATTGGCTTTTATGTTGTGGTCACTTAATTGTTCACTGCAGAGGCTGTTTAAGAGTCGAGTGACCATAGTGATGACCTTTGGAAGTGTCCAAGCCACACGAGAGATTGGATTGTAGACTCGGCTTAACTTTTGGTCTGAGGCCAGAGGTCATCTTGGAGTCAAAATCCACACTTGTCCGTGACCAATCAGGTGCACAAAAGTGGGAGTGTGTGCGTTTGTGCTACATTCAAACATCAGTACAGAAAATGTATCTATTAAATTTTAATACCAGTTTTTTTTAGGTTTTAATGAACATTTAAACACACACACACACACACACACACACACACATTTAGTGCTGTCAAACGATTAATCGCGATTAATCGCATCCAAAATATATTATGAGATGATTTTGGATAAATGCATGTAAACACTGCAAATAAGCATATCCATCATTTCTGTTCAGATTACTCTAGTCTTCAGACCACATTTGACCTAAAGTGTAAAAAAACAAAACCAAGTTAAATCCCATTTAGCTGTGTTACTATCATCATCACAGAGGAAGAGTGAGTTTCTGGGCATCTGTTCATACCACTTTAGCCATTTGAAATCAGCAGCTGACCGACCCTCCGTGCTAATCACCATTTAACACAACACACAATCACAACCGCAAACACAAAAAAAGCAACTTTGTGATCCTAAAACCAAACACGGAAAAGCAAAGCTCATCTGGCAAGTGTGTGAATGGTTGCTAATGTTTATTTAGAGCCTTCTGGTTTAAATAATGTTCAAACAATCACAATTATTTGCATAAATAAGAATATATACTGTAAACTATTATCGCACAGCTCTAGTGGGTTGTATATCACCTCCAACAGTACACTCATGTAAAGCGATATATACTATATAACTAATCTCAACTGCCTAATTTTTTTTTTGTGTGTGTTGCAAAATGTAACCATATTGTCACCCAGCTCTATATAAAAATATCTATCTTTATCCTCATACATACAGTATACTCACTTAGGGCAATATATACTATATTTCAACTGCTTGATTGCTGTTATCGTTAAAAAGTAGACTATATTATTGGCAAGCTCTATATATACAGTATATAGGTGGATATGTGAACATATCTAACTTTATCTGCATACATACAATATACTTACTTAGGGCGATATATACTATATAGCAAAACAGCTTGATTTTTTCATTTAATCACAAAATGTTTTTATCACCCAGCTCTTTATGTAAAGTTGGATATATAAAAATGTCAAAATTTATCCACATTCATAAAATATACTATACTATATAGCAATTCTCAAATTCTTGATTGCTATTATCATCACAAAATGTAAACTATATTATCGGCAAGCTCTAAATATAAAGTAGGTTATATAAAAATGTCCAACCTTATCCACATACATGCAATATACTCACAATACATAACCTATTATAATGTACATTTTGCTGCTTGCCATATATACTATGTAGCAAATCTCAAGTATTTTATTATTATTATTATTATTATTATATAGCAAATTTCAACTTCTTGATTGCTGCTACTTTCACAAAATGTAATCATCGGCAAGTTCTATATATAAAGTTGGATATATAAAAATGTCCAACTTTATCCACATACATACAATGTACTTTACTATATTGCAAATCTCACCTTCTTGGTTTTTTTCATTTCATTGCAAATGTAACTATTTTATCACCCAGCTCTTTATATAAAGTTGTATATATAAAAATATATAAAACTTGCGGATATATAAAACTATCATAAACAGTATCATGACGCGAGCGTGAGGCGGCGCTGGCGCTAACCCAGATCCGGCGTGATGACGTCATTACGCCGGATCTGGGTCAGCGCCGCCACACGCTCGCGTCATGATACTGTCGTGAACGTGCGTTCACAAGTGACGCAGTAGAGACAAAAATGTGGAATAAAGTCGATATTTTTGTTTTCTTTGCGCAAAAAAGTATTCTTGTAGCTTCGTAACTTTACAGTTGAACCACTGATGTCACACGGACTACTTTGTCGATCATCTTGGTACTTTTCTGGACCTTGAACGTGGTAGTTACCTTGCTGTCTATGGGAGGGTCAGAGAGCCCTCAGATTTCATCAAAAAATATCTTAAATTGTGTTCCGAAGATGAACAAAGGTCTTACGGGTTTGGAACAACACGAGGGTCAGTAATTAATTACACGAAGATGAACAAAGGTCTTACGGTTTTGAACAACATGAGGGTGAATAATTAATGACAGAATTTTCATTTTTGGGTGAACTAACCCTTTAACATCATGATTTTCTGTAAAGCTGCTTTGAAACATAAATTTAAATAAATTTTGTCTTGACAGAGTATCCATTTCTAAATATTGTGCTGTTCCATGCTTTAAATTGATAAATCAGCTAAGATTAGACTCGAGCTGTGTTACACAGCAACTGATATTTAAAGCAAATGTTAATGTGATGAAAAGAGAGTAAAAATTAATAATAAATAATAAACAGAATCCATTTCAGCATGACTAACACATCTCCTCTTCTTTCCAAGTGTCCTCCTCTCCTTCACTGTTCTACTCCAAGTATGCGGCTAATCTTCTATTGAGTGTGCCTTTTCCTTATCGGAACCCCACACTCTGCCTAAATCTGTTATCACAATGGAGCAGATCATGGGCTTCTCCCTCCCTCCCTCTCTCACATGCATTCACTCCCGCACTCCGTTGCCCTCCCCGAAAAGAGGCTGAATGCAGAAGTGTCTCTGGTGCCAACCGATTAGCCCTGATCTCTTTATACATCTAAACCAATTCACATGCTGCATGCTAAATTTTTCCCACTCTGTCTGAGACCCCGTCTCCAAAAGAGGGGGCTGGAGGGGTCATAAATCCTTATATTTCCCCCCCTAAAAATAAAGGAAGCATGGAGGAGAGGGTAGAAAGTGTTATCTGTGCGAGAAAGGAGAGCTGCTTGGAGTGCATGCAGGTGCATTGCTGGCTGGAGGGACGCCCATTGTTGGCCGGACAGCGGCTCTCTCTTCTAGAGCACTTTTTTTTATGGCACACTGACAATCCAATGATCTGTAATCAGATTAGGCAAATGTATACTTCAAAAAGCAGCATGCAGTAACTTTACAGAGGAAGAGGAGGTAGAACATTTTGGATTGGGGAAAATTGGGATCATCTGAAACATTTTGTTTTTTATAAGAACAAATTTGATGGAGCATGAATATTTGGTAGTGTCATTGTTTAGATGTTATTGATGAAGACGTTCTCCTATCACATACTCTTAAAAATAAAGGTTCCAAAAATGTTCTTTTTTAGAAGAACCATTTTCTTAGTGTTAAGAACATTTGAATAATCTCAAGAATTTTTTTCCACTGTGTTTCACTGGTTGTAACTGATTACATATTATCTGGATATGTACGTAATCCGATTCCAAAAATCAAGTACTCGTAATTAGAGTATATTACATTTTATAATGCTCATAATCAGATTACAGTTGCATTTTTATGGATTACATGATTACATATTCACACAATGGAAATAAATCATTCAAAATTTATTGATTTTTTCTTTTTTACATTTTCCTCTCTAAAAATCCTACATTGTGTCATACCATTTAGCTTTGACTATATTCACAATATGGTCATGTAAATGTCATGTAAATAAATTTGCAAACCATGCTTCTGAATTTGGATGAAAAAGGCACCTCTCAGGAGACGAATTGTTGAATAAAGTCGTTATTTTTTTTGTACTTTTGCGCACAAAAAGTATTCTCGTAGCTTCGTATAATTGCGGATGAACCCCTGATATCACATGGATTATTTTACAGATCTCCTACGTTTCTGGACTTGGGAACATTTCAGTTGCGTTGCTGTCTATGGAGGGTCAGACAGCTCTCAGATTCCATCAAAAATATCTTAATTTGTGTTCCGAAGATGAACGAAAATTTTTGGGTGAACTAACCCTTTAAAGGTTCTTAAAGGGGTCATATGATGCTGCTAAAAAGAACATTATTTTGTGTATTTGGTGTAATGAAATGTGTTTATTGTTAGAACGAGCCGTTTTAGGTAGGTGAGGCTGACTCTTAACTTTTATAAAGAATATCTCTTTGGATTTGAGACTTTAGTCTTTGCAACTTTACAGATCTTCTTTATGCACCAAGAGCTTGTAACACTCCAAAGAGAAAGGAAAAATTGAAATCGCATCATATGACCCCTTTAATGGAACGATCCATTAAAGAACTTTATTTTTAGGAGTGCAGTGCCATGCATTAAGACTGGAATACAGTAGGCTACACTTTCAATCTGAAAGAGTCAACACTACACTAAGATTTTTTGAAGTACTTATAAGAAAATACTATTTCAGTCTTTCTGCTTCAAAATTGTTATGTTTAATTCAATGTGTTACTTGACATTTCTTTAAAAAATTGTTTGTGAAAATTACTAGACGTTTTTCTGAATGTAATTATTTCGAAGTAAATCCTACACCAGATTTAGTTTTTTTGTTTTTTTCAGTGTAGTTGCCCAGTTAGAGCCAGTATGCAGATTTTGGGCAGTTGTTTGATGGATTTAGCAGAAAATCGCGTAGATTTTTTAGTATTTTAGAACTCGCTGTTTCATTTGCCATGCGTCTCATTGCAACAAGGTGCCTATTTTGTTGCTCTCGAAACGACTTAAGAGTCTGGTAGTGTGTGATATTTAAGGGTTTATAGATCGATAGATATTTTTAAGAATTTTAAATATATGAATGATTAGTAACATTAATATATAACTGTTTTAAAGAATAGAAATAAAAAGAGAAAGAGAAATAAAAAAGGAATATAAAAACAAAATTTAAATATAGTATAAAGAATGATATCAGAATGATAATTTATAAGACAGTGTAATTATGTTGTAGTTGGTTGTCCATCACAACTCAAAACACTAATCATTACTTGGGTAACTTACTGCTTTTATTTTGAAAAACGGTGTAGGAAGGGCGCATACCTTTTTTGGGTCGGCCGCTGTCTTGGGTCGTAAACGGGACACGTTTGGTTCCTAATGGCCGGAGAAGAGCGACAAGGGGCTTGTTTTATTGGCGGAAAGGAAACGCTAGCCACAGAAAGCGGTGAAAATCATATACGCAACGCCAGGAAGTGAAAAAATGTGGACGCACGTTGTATTGTTAATTATTAACTCATTAAACACTCCATGTTAGACGCAGGTGTTCGCTTAAACACTGTCAGAAATATCTTAAAGTAAATTCCATGTATAATAGTGATCTTGCACTGCTTTAATGTCAACAAAACATTCAGAAATAGCTTAATCTTACATTAAAAAAAATAAAAAAGATAAATCAGTAGATACCTTTTACATTAACATTTTATTGATTGAGCTCAACCGTACCTTTGCTCTTGTGTGTTAATAATTGTACAGAGTGCTACAGTAGACGATTGTGGGACACTGAGTGATCTCACTCTATCGCTGGCAACCATGAGACTCGTTGTCTGTTTTCTTTCTCTGCTCACTGTGTTCAGCCCTGGAGAATGTGGGAATGTTTTAGTCTGGTTTACTGAGGGCAGTCACTGGATCAATCTGAAGATTGTGTTGGAAACGTTGATTGACAGGGGACACAGTGTCACTGTGCTGGTGCCAGATGCCTCTCTCTTCATGCATGCCAAAGAATCAGATCGCTTCTCCTACCAGCCATTCAATGTGTCTATATCTGCACAGGACATAGAGGACTCCTTTGAGGATTTTTTACATTTCTCAATGTATGAGATGGAACAGTTAAACTTACTGCAAATTTATATCAAATTCTACCAGCTTTTCTCCAAAGATCTAGATTTGTGTTTTACATACTGTGATGGTACTCTGAAGTCTCCAGCGTTGATCGACAAACTGCAGCGTGGGAAGTTTGACGTCATGCTGTCAGATCCGATCTATCCATGCAGCGAGGCTTTAGCTGAAAAGCTGAACATTCCCTTAGTTTACACATTACGGTTCTCTATCGCTAACACTTTAGAGCGGATGTGTGGTCAGATACCAGCTCCACCATCATTTGTTCCTGGAACAATGAGTAAACTCACAGACAAGATGAGCTTCACAGAGCGAATCAAAAATATGCTCTTCTACCTTTCTCAAGATGCTTTGGCCATTAGTCTGTGGAAAAAAATCGACAACTATTACACTGAATATTTTGGTGAGTTAAATACTCTGGGGAGGGGAGGGAGGGCATGAGGGGATTTACACCTAGAAGCCATAATTTTGTTGTTTAAAATAATCATTCATTCCAGGACGGCCCACTTCCTATTGTGAGATGATGGGTAAAGCTGATATCTGGTTAATCAGAACCTACTGGGATTTTGAGTTTCCACGGCCATTCCTGCCCAACTTCAAATACATTGGAGGCCTTCACTGCACCCCTGCCAAACCATTACCTAAGGTGCGTCTGTCTTTTTACTAGTCTCCCCCTTTTTCTGTAAAATAAACCAGCACAAGATATAAAATTCATGAGAGACATGCTTTGCATCATTAAACCAGGAAAAGCCAAAAAGCAATGGTAAACCCGACAGGTAACAATTAATGTCACAATTAGGAAGACAATTATTAAAGGACATTAAAAGAATAGTTCACCCAAAAATGAAAATTTGCTGAACATGTACTCACCCTCAGGCCATCCAAAATGCAGTTGAATTTGTTTCTTCATCAGAACAGATTTGGAGAAATTTAGCATTACATCACTTGCTCACCAATGGATCCTCTGCAGTGAATGGGTGCCATCAGAATGAACATCTGATAAAAACATCACAATAATCCACACCACTCCAGTCCATCAATTAACATCTTGTGAAGTGCTTCTAGTTGAAATACAAGTGCATAATAACGCTTCCTCTATATAACGTTGTCCTTTCCCATCAAAATCCACTCACATATTTGTTTAGAACTGGTTTGGACTATTTTTGCATGTAAACAGTGCTTGATCTGTGCATATTTCTATCCTTAATTCAGATGAGACAAATTTCTCATTTGAGAAAACAATATTATGGACACCTGTTTTAGCCTGAAGCAACAATTTGAAGTTAAATACGTTTTAATGATGGATTTGTTTCTTACAAATATGCAGCCTTTCACATCACAGGATGTTGATTGATGGACTGAAGTGGTTTGGATTACTTGTGGATTATTGTGATGTTTTTATCTGCTGTTTGGACTCTCAGTATGACGGCACCCATTCACTGCAGAGCATCCATTGCTGAGCAAGTGATATAATGCGAAATTTCTCCAAATCTGTTCAGGTTGAAGAAACAAACATCTTGGATGGAATGAGGGTGAGTGCATTTTTAGCATATTTTCATTTTTGTTTGCACTATGCCTTTAAACTTGCAGAGGATGATTCAGCGAAAAGTTCACCAAGTTTACCTTTCACATCTATGCCATGAAAAATAGCAAACTGTACCTTTATTCTCAGAGACAATAAAAAAGAGTTAGTACTGTAGGGTTATTAAAGTTGAGTATAGTGGGAATAACAACATTCAATAACTAATAGATAACTAATAACTGATCAACATTTTCTCTAGCTTATAGTAAATGCATAAATGTTCATTTTATTTTTGAGCATTCATACACAATACTAGCCTATAGGTAGTACTTGGTATTTAAATAATTGCAGCAAAAAGATAACCTATTGACCACCTTTTTTTCTGTGTAGGACGTGGAGGAGTTTGTGCAGAGCTCAGGGGATGATGGGATTGTGGTCTTCACTCTGGGGTCCTTGGTAAACAACATGACCAAAGACAGGAGCAATACGATCGCCTCTGCACTGGCACAGATTCCACAGAAGGTTATTTACCATTCTCACATTCTTCTATTCTTTCCATATTTTATCAACCCTGCTTCTTGATAAAGAGGAAAAGTAGAAGCTTTCAGTCCTCGTAGGTCAGCTCTTTAATCTTTTTTTCAGTCTACACTTATCAGTTGTTAATGTGGTTGTATAAATGGGTTTTGTTTTGCTTGCAGGTTTTATGGCGATATGGTGGAGAGAAGCCAGATACTCTTGGTGAAAACACCAGAATTTATAAGTGGATCCCTCAGAATGATTTATTGGGTTTGTATTAAAATTTGTGATTGTGTATTTATGTTTAAGAAAAATGCAATGTTTTTCAAGAGCTATAAACTGACATATATAGATAGCTAACTGAATTATACTACATTAGTTTAATGGTACAGGCATTTTTAAATGAAACTATGTAGCCCCCTACTGGTTACCTTGTGCCAAACAAAATAATCATAATCTCTATTCATGTTTTCTTTCCTGATTCAGGTCACCCTAAAACCAGAGCATTCATCACTCATGGAGGCACTAATGGCATATATGAGGCCATATATCATGGCGTTCCAATGGTCGGGATCCCCTTGTTTGGTGACCAGCCTGATAATTTAGTTCATATGAAGGCCAAAGGTGCTGCTGTTATCATTGACTTCAACAGTATGCAGATTCAAGACCTGGTGGATGGACTCAATGCTGTCATTAACGATCTCTCGTGAGCTGACTTTCATTGTACAACTATGACAAGACTTTAATGATATTTTGAAGGCTCTGTGCTGTCTTTCTCATTAATATTCAATGCAAACACAATAGATAGATGAACAGCAAAGTGTACACAGACATATAAGAGTATTTATCTTAATCTCCGCAGGTATAAAGAGAACACTATGCGTTTGTCCAGGATTCATCATGACAGACCAGTAAAGCCTTTGGATGAGTCTGTGTTCTGGATTGAGTTCGTCATGCGCAATAAAGGCGCTAAACACCTGCGTGCCGAGGCCCACAACCTTACCTGGTACCAGTACCACTGTCTGGATGTGTTCGCTTTTCTCATCACTGTCCTGACTGTAGTTCTCTATGTTTTCTTTAAAATGTGCAAATTCTTCATAATGCATTGCTGTTTTAGATCAAAGAGGAAAAGCAAAAAAGAGTGATTGATTTTGACTGATACAAAAATTGATACAGTTTTACAGACCTGTGCATCCTTTGCACGCTTGATTATTCACAAATGTTATTTCTATCTTTTGCTTTAGTTTGCCAGTAGGAAATATCAGTTTATGTTTCCAACATTCGTTTAGCAATGAATTGTAAAATCCAGTGAGACTTTTGTATGCACACGAATCTCCTCATCATCAATCTGTCTGTGATTACATTAAGAGACAGAAAAACCGAGACAGACTAAATCCATAAGAACTGTTGCAAAAAGGTCAAGATATTTCAACATGTCCAACTGATATTTCCTCCCAGTACACTAAAGCAAAATTATAAAAATCAGTATTTAAACAATTTTTCTAACATGCCTAAGACTTGCTCAGTACTGTATAAACATTACCTCAAAAGTCTGAGGTCGGTAAGATTTCAAAATGTTTCAAAGAATTCTCTTATGGCTGAAATATATCCTCCAATGAAAGCATCAGCAAATCAACTACACTACTACAGAATCCAGGTGACACCATAGATGGCCATTGAGGATACTTAATTTTAAAGAAAAAGGGGAAAAAGTTAGTGAAACTGGGATGTCTGGACCGTAATGGTGTATCTTTTACCAAAGCAGTTTAATGATTTATGAAAACCTAGTCACCTTGGCACTTATTGATTTAACTCTGTCTGTATACTTGGTAAATAATTATACCATTTGGAATATAGTTGAAGGACACTAAGTGGTCACACACTCAGTTGCTGGTAATCATGAGACTCCTAATCTGTGTTCTTTATCTTGCTGTGTTTGGTCCTGCACAATGTGGGAATATTTTAGTTTGGCCTACTAGAGGCAGTCACTGGATCAATCTGAAGATCATTTTGGAAACGGTGATTGGCAAGGGACACAATGTCACAGTTCTGGTGCCGAATCCCTCTCCCTTCATGGATACCAAAGAATCAGATCGCTTCTCCTACCAGCACTTCAGTGTGTCCATGACCACACAGGACATGCAAGACTTCCTTAATGAACTTGTACATTTCTCAGTGTATGAGATCGATCAGTTAAACTTACTGCAGATTCAGATTAAATTCTACGAGCTTGCTTCCAAACATCAGGATATGGCTTTGTCATACTGTGACGGTATTCTGAAATCACCAGAGTTGATGGACAAATTGCGGAATGGAAAGTTTGATGTTGTTCTTTCAGATCCGCACTTCCCGTGCAGCGATATTGTGGCTGAAAAGCTGAACGTTCCCTTGGTTTACACTTTCCAGTTCTCCATTGCTCACATTGTAGAGCGTATGTGTGGTCAAATACCATCTCCACCGTCATATGTTCCCGCAGGCATGATTAAACTCACAGACAAGATGAGCTTTACAGAACGAATCATCAATATGCTGTTTTACCTTTCTCAAGATGCCTTTGCCATTTTGGTGTGGAAAGGAATGGACAACTATTACACTGAATATTTTGGTGAGTTAAAGCAATGTTCTGAATTCAATACTAGTTCACACACAAATGAAAATGCTGTTTACTCTCCTAATGTAGTTACAAACCCATATGCTGTTATTTTTTTTTTCAATGGAACAGAAAAGGATCATTTTGAAGGATCTTCACTCATACAAAGAAAATGTATCTATCAATTTCCAATGAGGACAATAAAAAAAGCTCCATAAAATAGTCCATATTTCATGTGCACTATATTCCGGGTTGGAATGTTCTGGTTCTGAAAGATGAGCTTTACAGAGCGAATCATCAATATGCTTGTCTGCTTAGATGCTTTTTCCATTATTGCTTGGAAAAAAGATTGACAACTATTACAGTTAATATTTAGGTGAGTTAAAGGAAAGTTCTGGAAAGAGTTTACTCAAACACCGTACAGAATGTAAGGGACACATTTCCATATAGTCTGATAGTCATCAAATGACAGCTTAGGAAGTGTCCCATCAGCCAATCTGTTTTGTCATGATGTCATACTTTACTCATATGGCAGCTGTGATTCCTATGCACTTCAGGTGCAAGATGTGTTAAGCATGTCTAAAATACTATGCAAAAATTAAGCATTAGCGTTAGTTCTGGCAGGTCACGTGAGTCAAGCTTGCATCAGCTGATTCTCAGCTGATCACATCTACCTATAGGAATACGACACCTATCGTGGCATTCCTATATAAGCTCTATTCAGTATTATTCAGCAGCTTTTCAGCTTGCTGGGAAGCAAATTACCCTCCTCCATCCCCAGCTCCTCCTTTCGCCACAGTCAGGACTTGGCTTTCTGATATTCCTTGCTAATCAGACTCCTTTATCTTGAATAAAGTGTTACACTTAAATATCATTAAGTACATTAATGATATCTGCCTTGTTCTGTTCTGTTAACCCTAGGAGGGGGTATTATTGCTGCTCTCCCTGCTCATTCATGACAGGCTGCATGGATGGGCAGGGAGGTTTTTGCCCAGAACAGAACCATACCGCCAAACCAAACTTTATGCTAAGTATCTATCATTTTGACGATAGTGGTCCTGACAGAAATAACATTTGTGTAAATCTGTCAAGCATTCCTCATTCCAGGACGGCCCACTTCCTATTGTGAGATGATGGGTAAAGCTGATTTCTGGTTAATCAGAAACTACTGGGATTTTGAGTTTCCACGGCCATTCCTGCCCAACTTCAAATACGTTGGAGGCCATCACTGCACCCCTGCCAAACCATTACCCAAGGTGCATCTGTCTTTTTAACATTCTACCTCATTTGCTGTTAATAAGAACTCAGGATATTTGATTTTCATGAAACTTGTCTTCAAATTCATAATTTACACTGAAAATACTGATAACTTGCAGTTGAGTCTGACCAGTCTGAATTAATTCAGTTCAGTTGACTTACTATTCACACAATAAGTTGATGTCTTTTTTCACCAATGAAATCTGACAACAACTGTCTCATCAAAGTTGTTTATTTTGCTCAAATACCGTTAAAAAAGCGTATTATTCAGGCTGGACCAGCCAGTGCACATGCACAATCACTGTAGTTCATGGATGTACCTCATCACCACATCCCACAACTTCAGATGGACTTACAGTAATACACTAGAGTAGGCTACAGTCATTCTTAATCACAATAAGTCTTCCTTGTTGATGTCACCCTTGCTTTGTTTACTTTTTTGGAATGATCTATAGCCTATTGTGGAAAGCACTAATACATTTGAATGGAATTGAGTTTATAAATAAAACTTAATCTTTTTTGCTTTTCTGCAGATATATTGCTGCTGTAGTGTTTGTACTATTTGAAACTCAGTATTTTGTTAATGATAATGTTGTTGGGTCTTGCACTTGTTTTTCTTCATTTGTAAGCCACTGGATAAAAGTCTGCTTACTAGTATAATGTAAATGAAGTATAATGTAATGCAGAATATAACATTTTTATACATTAGGAATTGTAGAAATATTCTGCATTTATATTTTGCATATTAAAAATGTATATCGTAGTCGTCGGTAAGTAACGCGTGGCTGTCCCCAGCGGTCTTGTAAATCACTGCAACGGGACTTTTATTTTAAAGGCGTACTGCTTGGTTTAGTAGCTTCACGCATCGCAGTCGACCATCAACAAGCTAGCGAACTCCTCATGTGATCCTGTCAATTTTCCTTATATGATCGGTTAAAACCCGAGATGATTAGAGAAGGTTTGGTGATCGAGAGATTTGCTGCATGGCTGATGGTCCTAAATTGAACCGTAGTCCATTTTAGTTGATTAGTACGTTACTGATAGACGTCTAGCGCAACTGTTAGAACGGGCAATTTATTCATACAAGTTTAAAATCCTATTTACTTTTTAAGCTGTATTGAGGGTATAACGTTGCATTAGTATAATTTTGTAAAAGGTCAAGATTAAAGCTAAATTATGTTGCATTTAAGATCAAGTCTCTAGAGCGTTGTGGTCAATGATGAAGTCACAGAAGCTGCGTGAAACTGAGACCACGATGATGCACTAGCGTACTGCATACTGTTTCAAATTTGTAACTAATCGATAATCGACTGAGTTGAATAGATTTTGAAATACAGAAAACTTGCATGCTGATCACAGTACTGAATACTGCAAAAAAAACAAAAAAAAAAACACGTGACCCTGGACCACAAAACCAGTCATAAGGGTACATTTTTTTTTTAATTTGCGATTTGCGATTAATCTGAAAGATGAATAAATAAGCTTTCCATTGATGTATGGTTTATTAGGATCGGCCAATATTTGGCCGAGATACACTGCTTTTGTGCTCCAGGGTCACATATTAGTTTCAAATATAACGTCACCTGAATGACAAATATTCCACCTTAAGTTAAAGAAAATACATTAGGTATCGCCATGTTTGCAGACATAAATTCTCTTACATTAATTTTACTGATTAATTTTTACGCATTATCATTAGGTGATATTTGATCACCTAATCATTGGTATTTGATCATTGGGTTTTGACACAAATTTCACGATTCGATACGATTCTCATTCACAAGTTTTCGATTCGATTACCGATTCGATTCAATATCGATTATTTTGGATATATATCAGGTACAGTACTGTATGCCAAATTTTCTCAAGGAAAAAAATCTCTCAACTAATGCTGTAAAATATACATGAGAGTCATTTGGTGCTACATTACTATAATATTGAAGGTTAAAATTGACTGATTTGTAAGCTATAGCATACAACTGTTAAAATTACACAAAAGTTTTTAAAATAATAAAGTTACAATTACATAATAATATTTCTACTTCAATTCGGTTTTTTTTTAATATAAAAATTTAAATGGTAGCTATCATAAAAAATTGATGGATTTATTCAAACATAAATTAAACATAAGAACAGTAAAAATGATAATGAATATGTTATATGGTGCATATATTTAGCAAAATACCCCTCTGTACAGTTTATTTTTCTATCTGACTAATGAGTTTATGGTCACCGAATATGTTTGTTTCTGAGGTAAATGTGACGTTAAGTGACACTGTTTACAAGACTTTATATTGACGTATTTGCGCGGCTGAAACACTGATTGAGCGATTAACATGAGACAGGATACTAAGAATCGATATCGTTCCGTAAAAAAGATAATCGATTAATATCGAGATATCGATATTTTTTGCCCAGCCCTACTTTTTTTTTTTTTAACATGGCACTAAAACGCGAATGACTAATGTTATAAAGAGAGTGAGAGAGAGAGAAAGAAAAAAAAAGTGTGAGAGAAAAAAAAAAAGACAGTCTAAACCCAAACCATGATTATGGTTTATTGGTCAAAATTTGACAAAAGAAAATATGACAAAAATATCTTTTAAGACCGTGATATTATGATTTTGTTCTCTACTGCAGGAGACAGCTGGTGAGAAACACTAGTTTGACATCCAAAGGAAAGCTGAGTGGGCAAAAAGATTGAAAATGTGTCTTATTAAAAGATATTAACGCTCCACCAAAATGCAGCAGCATTGTTCATTTCTTGGGGAAGATAAGTATATATTCACAGAATAAGAACATTTATTTATAGACTAAATGAAGTCATTCATTTCAATCAGAGCCCATTCAACATATTCCCTAATTATGCAACCAATAAAGATTTTGAACACAAATGGCAGTTTGAAACATTTATGATCGTTTATGACTTTGGTGGAGGGCGAATAAGCCAAAACATTTCCAAAATCACTAAAAACACTGAACCAACAATCGGAACCAGTCCCTCGGTCCCTTTAACTGCAAATGTTTTTGCTCAGAAACCGGTAACCCGGATGAAGGATTTGGTTTTTAGTCAGACCGCATCGCCTCCAAGCATCAGACATGAAGAATCACAGATATACAGCAGGTTACAGAACTCGACTCGCCAAGTCTTTACCAATCAGCATTTTCTTCCAGTCCTTGATTGTTTTTTTTATAAGATGAAATATTTCAAACTATAGGTCTATATATAAAAACAGCATAAATTTCCACCCTCACTTCATTGTCTATTAATGTCTGTTATAATTGTCTATTATTATTTTATCAGACTTTTTTTTTCTTTTTCAATTGGACACTGAATTTGGCCTGATGTCCTGAGGGATTGGTGCAAACGTTCTAGTGTCATTATTAAGAGATTATGGAAACATAAAAAATTGTGGAAAATGGTACAAAAATAAATAACTTACATTCATGTTAGTAGATGCTTTGGAATGATTTTAGTTTTGCAAAATGCTTAGCTTGTTTGTTCCATCGTTTACAATAAATTTGTTATTTTAGTCCTTTTTATATCCACCGATTAGCAATGTACAGCTTTCAGAACAATAAATAACAGACATTTCTGAATGGTCCTTGAGATAAAAAAAAAAAAATATGGAAAGCTCACACTTTTTGTTGGTTAAGTTTGTTTTCGGTCACTGAAATACCCTTTGGACAGCAGAAATTGAGCCCTGAACCCACAATTACACCTTCCCACGAGGTGCCTGGAGACAATTAACACTAGAGATCAGTGAAAACATGACAAAACTGAAGCCTTCACGTCATGGAGCACAGAAGTCAAAACCTCTGCTTTAGCTTCATATGAACATGATGCACCCTCAAACACAAACACACAAACACAGTCGAGTGATTATTTACATCAGTAAGTGACAAGCCACACTGATTGAAAAACAAAAAGTGAAAACAATAGTGTGATGCATAGAATGACATGGAAAAAGTTAAGCGATAGTCATTTCGTCTTCATCCCAGAAACCAGCTGTTTTGGAGCTCTTTTGAAGTGCAAGACACAGACTGTATTCTCAGGTGTTGG